AAACTGCCCTCCTAGCCATGTCTCCCACCACAGGGAAACTAACCCTACAGTCAAGTCAAAAATTCTCCATTCCCTGAATGGATCTCAAGGTTTCCCATCACACCCCGTCCTCCCTTGCCACCAGCCACTTGCTCATCCTCAATCAGTTTTGAACCCCCTCCTTTTTACCTTGTCTTTTTTTTTTTTTAATTTTTAAGATTTTATTTATTTATTTGACAGAGAGAGCACAAGCAGGCAGAGAGGCAGGCAGAGAGAGAGGGGGAGGAAGCAGGCTCCCCGCTGAGCAGAGAGCCCGACGCGGGGCTCGATCCCAGGACTCCGAGATCATGACCCGAGCCGAAGGCAGCGGCTTAACCCACTGAGCCACCCAGGCGCCCCTTTACCTTGTCTTTTTAAAAAAAAAAAAATGATTTATTTATTTAACCTGGGAGTGGGGAGCACTCGAGAGTAGGGGGAGGAGCAGAGGGACAAGGAGAGAGAGAATCTCAAGAAACTCCCTGCTGAGTACAGAGCCTGACTCGGGGCTTGACCTCACAACCCTGAGATCATGACCTGAACCAAAACCAAGAGTCCTATGCTCAACCAACCAAGCCACCCACGCATGCCTCTCCTTGTCTTCCTCTATCTTTGAAGTCTGGCTTAAATGTGGGACTCTGTGAAATCATTGATCTTTTCTTTGAATTCTCCCAGACACTTCAACAGTAGGAATCTCATAGTTCATAATATACTCAGCTTGGCTTAGTGTCCTAAGTTTCAAAATAGTCAACCGTACAGTTGACCCTTGAACAACACAGGGGTTAAGGGTACCGACCTCCTGCACAGTCGAAAATCCACATAAGCTTTACTAGTCTATAAACACATATTTTGTATGGTACATGTATTATATACTGTGTTCTTACATTAAAACAAGCTGGAGAAAACATTATTAAGAAAATCATCAGCGGGGGCAGCGGGGTGGCTCAGCTGGTTGAGCCTTCACCTCTTGGTTTCAGCTCAGGTAGTGATCTCGGGGTTGTGGCAGCAAACCCCAGGCCAGGCTCCACACTCAGCACAGAGTCTGCTTGGGGGTTCTCGCTCCCTCTCCCCTCCCCTCCATGCACTTGCGAGCATGCATGCTCTCTACCTCTCTCTCGCTCACTCAAAAAAATAAATCTTTAAAAGAAATCTTAAGGAAGAGAAAATACATTTACAGTACTGTACCATATTTATTTTAAAAAATCCACATTTAAGTTAACCCACACAGTTCAAACCTGTATAGTTCAAAAGTCAACTACATATTAAAGTATTCCATATTGGAGGACCACAAACAAGTTTGAATATAAAACTGCGCTATCATCTCTTACTTTCCCCAAATGCTTAACGTGATGCTTTATACATAAAAAACATTTAATGTCTGTTGAATAATATTTAACACACACCATCAAATTCCTAAACCTCAGTTATATCCTTAAGCCGGTGATCTTGTTTTTTTTTTCTTTCTTACATCTCAGACGTTTTTCCTAATGAAATCTTAGATGGAATCCCAATATATGTCTTACGGGAAGATTTTATATGTGTTCTATATACAGAGTAAAGCACATATAAGTGGCATTTCACTTTATGTACATTTATTTTAAGTTAAAATTTATAGCATTTCCTATTATTAAGTGAGCTATGAGAATAGCAGGCTGTTTCGATGAATATAAAATGTGAAGTAGAGGGTTACGAGTAGTGATTTGCACTCGGCCATTTCCACGGCCAGCTTATTTCTGGGTTTTGATTGGTTTCACATGATTCAGAAAATCCTGACTCACATCACTAAGTCACAGTGTGCAACTTCATGTGAGTGGACATCAGCAGGGTAACGCATTCTATTTTTTTAAAGCTCAGATACAACCTGCTAGATCTGTGACACATTAAGAAAGCCATACACAGCAACTAAGAACCCAGAGTCTGCTCCCAACCCTGGCTCCCCTCTGTTTAACAATGCAGATCTTAAGCAAGTTATTGGGCCTCAATTTCTGCATCTGAAAACTGGAAATAATAATGGTTCTTCCCTCATAAGGCTGTACAAGAGCAAGATAGTGTTGGACAAATGTATGCCCCAATAGTCTTCAGTGTGTTAAAATGTGGTATAGGATACACAGAGGTGTGCAGTTTTAATGTTTTATTATACACCCAATCGTTATTAAAACATTTATATGTGTAATGCATAAAGAATAGCAGTATAAGGGAACTTATGTTCCCAACTGGCAATTACTGTTGAAATGCCCAGTGCACCCCTCCCTGATCCCGTTCCCTGTCCTCCCCCATGAGGGAACAGACCTTTGCCATACTTTAGTTTTAATTTTTGTTTAGCACTTACCCTATTACTATGTGCCAGGTTCTGTCCAAAGTGCTTTCCAAAATGTCCACCTCTCACCCTCCCCACATCCCCACGAAGTGGACAGCATTCTCGTTGGCAATCTACAGATGCAGAGCGTGGGGCACAAGGAACTGTGACAGCATGCTCCCAGGCAGTTTGTACACGGAGATGCCAGCATTTGAACCCACGCAGTGGGCCTCCAGAGTCCCTGTTCTCCCACACACCCAGGCTTGACACACAGTGTTAAGGGCACTCTCACACTCCCTCCATGAACAGACACTGACTTAACACCCACCATGTGCCAGGCACTGGACTGGGCACTGCAGAGTTTAAGGAAAAGCTTCTTCCTCTCCGGCACCTGACAGTTCCCAGAACACTGGTTCCTTCCACAGGTGCTGACTCCAGCTCTCTCACAGGCCCAGGCAGCCTAGAAGCACCCTCGAGCTGTGTGTGGCCTTGAGGACAGGCGAGCAGGCCCAGCCACTTCACCTTGGTGTTGGTCAGGGTGGGTCTCGACAACAATCAATCCCCAAGGAATCACGGGAAATTCCAAACTTTCTGCCCCCACTCCCGGCCTCTTCCTCATCAAGGCTTCCTCTGAGATGTGAACCACGTAGGACTGCGCAGGAATCCACAGCCTCTGCCAGCAAGCAGGCCAGTTACGGCCTCATGGCCCAGCCCACAAGGAAAGGCCTCAACTTTAGCGCATGTCACTCCCCTAATTATTCTCTGTGCCTGGAGTCCAACAATAACAGAGCGTTTTTCACAAGCAGCTCCCACCATGAACCTTGCAGCCTCATGCATGCATCCGAGCACTGAGAAGTGCTAAAGGGTCGGGGGTTCACGCGGCCAACAGTCCCAGGCCTCTGGGGGAGAATCCCGGGCACTCTCTAGTCCAAAATCTGCCCCCAGAATAAATGCCTGAGGCCCCAGCTGCCTCCAGGGCCTACTTCCTGGGGCTGACCTGGGTCACAGTGGGTGGGGCCCTAAGAAGGCCCAGCAGATCTGAAAGCAGCTGCACCAGAGCCACTAAGAGAAAGAAGCAAGGGGTGGGGGACAGGATACTAAAGAAAGATTTTTCCTCCAGGGTCACATTCAGCGAGTGCTCCCGAAGCTATATCATATCCCGAAGATTGGTTTTTCAGTAAAGTTACTTACTCAATACCAGCCCTGACAGATACTGGGATTGGAGGTACGGTTCTAGGATATAACGGCAAAGTCCCCTACATTATTGAGGTGGGGGAGGGGCAGCAATAATCAAACTAATAATTTCGGTTCGTGATTAGTGCTTTGAAGAAAATAAAATATCTTTGTCCCATGGGGGTGGACAGGGAAATGAATATGAACTAAGATCTAAAGGAGGAGGTAGCAAAGCAAAGGCAAGGGAAAAGCATTCCAGGCAGAGAGAACAGAAGTGCAAGACCCTGAGGCCTCTGATTAAACGCTGATTAGGGGTTTAAAAAATGTTTGATGAAAAGCTAGTGCTCTCAAAATTCTAGTACATGGTAGACTTATTTCCTTAAAAGCATAAAGATCAAAGTGCCGTGTTGGAAAGAAATTTGTCCTTGGCTTTAAATGAAGATGCAAAAAGAATGTCTGTGAATATATATTTACATTTATATGTCTCACAAGGATCTTCTTAAAAAGCCTTTCATGTCCTTTATCCTTTAAACTTTTGTAATATAGGTTGAAAGCACGATACAATCTTTCTCTTCCAGCTCAAGCACTGAAAGATCTTTCTCCTAGAACTAATGAAGACATCCGTTCTGTCCGGATGTAATTTACCTCCCTTGTTCCAGATTTTGAAATAAGAATACCACGTACCCCTAATTGCAACTATGTAAAAAAAAAAAAAAAAAAATGTGTGCACAAGGATTAAGACGATGGGAGACTAGGAAGGGGTGGCGGTTGTTTTTCAATATTCCTTTGTTATTATTAAAACTGGGAAGAAAAGATACATTGTGCCTAACTGTGCAATTTTCTTGTCTTCAATGTGAATAAATGTGTTTTTAACTGCTGTTTATGTCCCATTTCCAACATCACCGCCACCGACAACCTCTCCCGGCTACAAATAAAGTTGAGAAGTGCAAGAGGTTTTTACAAACCCTCGTACAGTGAGTGCGTCGGCTCACGTACAATCCCTGTGCATCCGTCGACGGAACTTCTTGGGGATCCTTCGGGATCCCGGCCGTATTTCCCCCCAGGCTCTTATTAAAACCAGGTGCGCGGGAGGAGGGCGTTTTGCACAGAAAAGGCTTACGCTTGGCCCAAAGCTCCCCCTTCCGGTGTGTTTTCTAGACGGGATTCGTGAGCTGAGCAAAGAGAAAGCTGGCAACTCCTGCGGGGCGGGCAAACGGGGCGTGTGGTCAAGACGGACCCGCGCGCGGCCTGCGCCAGCGCCAAGTGTGCAGGGGCACCAAGTGAGCCGGGGACACGGACACTGCGCCCCCGCCGCCGGGAGTGTGGTCGGCGCGCGGGGGAAGCCCCAGAACCACAGCTCGGCCCGCGGGGGCCGAGAAGAGCAGGAGGGCGGCAGCGGGGCCACCGCAGATGGGAGCGTGAGAGCCGGGCGCGCGGAGGGGCCGGCCTAGGCCCCGACCCGCGGAGCTCGGCCGCCGTCTGCTGTCGGAACTCGCGCGGGCCGCGCGGCGCTTACCGTCGGCGGCCGGTGGCGCTCACGTGTCCAGGGTCCCGGCCGGGCGCGCGGGGGTGGGGGGAGGTGGCGCGGGACGCGGCGGCCGGCGCTCTGGGAGCTGGGGTCGCCGCACTCGGGGCAACGCGGCGCGGGGTGCCTGCGGGCCTCTCTGCCCGCGACCTTTGACCGGCGGTCGGGCCTGGGAGGACGAACACCGCGCCCCCTCCCGAGCGGGCAGGGAAACTCCTGAGAGAGCTCGGGAGAGCTTGGTCCTGCTGGGCCGGGACCCCCCACATTGGGCCCAGCCTCTGGGATGACGGCGTTGGTTACTTGCGGGGGTCAGAGATTTGAGTGTGGGCGCTTTCATCAGACCCTAGAGCTATTCAAAGTGGAGACCACGGGACGAGAAAAAAGGAGCATTATTAGGTTACAAATGGTTAAGGGGCAGAGAACAGGGAACCCCAAAAATACAGTTGCAATTTTTGAGCGGCCACTTACTCTTCCTTGGACCAAACGACAAACCGACATTTTCTCTTTCTTTCTTTTTCTCTACTGCTTTTAAGAGCGTGTTAACTAGGCTCTGTATAGCTTTGGTTCCGACAGCCCTGCATGAATTTTCAGTAACCCCAGGAAACCGCCAGCCAGACAAGACGGTGAGAAGGCCTCCCATCCCAAGTATTTGCCTGCACATTTGGTCCCATGAAAACTCCAAATCGGGTCACCCCAGCATATCTTCTGGGCGTGGTGCCCTGTTTGATGGGAAAAAGTATTCTCTGCCCCAACCTCAAGATCCTGTGACAGCCAACAAAGGGAATTCTAGAGAAGTTTCCAGACTGAAGCAACCCTAGTAATTTCTGGTAAAACATTATCTAAAGCTAGTTTTTCAAATCGTGGTCCAGGGACCACCTACATCCTGGGATCCTTGGTAGAGATTCAGGATTTAGGGCCTACAATATAGCTAATGAATTAGATTCAGAATGATGAGGCCCAGGAATCTGCATCTTTGGAAGCTTATCTTTCAAGGTTTCTGCTCAGTATGGTTTGAGAATTACTAGACTTAGCCCTTTATTTGACACTGCTGAAATGGTGCTTGTTTTTCCATCTGGAGCACTGCCTCAAAACTCTCAACAGTGTTAAACATTCTTCTTCTCCTTCTTCTGCTCCTTCTCCTTCTTCTTCTTCCTTTTTTCTTCTTCCGTAAGCCACAAAATTTGGCTTCCAAACAAACTGTGCCTTATTTCATGAATTTAAAAAAAGAGACAGAAATATGTCAAAGCATTACTTCCCACTGTCTAGGGCTCTGAGCACATCCTAATAATTAAAAAAAAAAAAAAAAAAAAAAAAACACCACTAGGTAAGTGGATTATGCTGAGTGCCTTCTACTAATGTTGGGCTGTTTGTCATTCTCAGCCCGACCCACTCCTGTCCTGCTGCTATTGACTGAATGCTTGCATCCCCTAAAATTCATGGTGAGACTTCATCCCCAGCCTGATGGTATTTGGAGGTGGGGCCTTTGGAAGATGATCAGGTCAGATGATCCTTACTGGGATTCAGGACTTTATAAGAGGCTTGGGAAAGCTGCTTTACCCTCCTGTCATGTAAGACACAGCTCGTGGATGAGTGGCTGAACCAGAAAATGGGCTCCCACCAGACACCAAATCTGCCAGTGTTATTCTAGCTTCCAGAACTGTGAGGAATTTCTGTTGTTTATAAGCTACTGAGTCTATGGTATTCTGTCCTAACAAGCCCAAATGGGCTAAGACACCTGCTGGTTTTTCTTCTGTTTCACTCAGGCCTCAATCAGCACAGCCTTCCTGATAAAATGGAAGCTGAGCCTGTGATCACGGCAGTTTCCAAATTGCACTGTGCAATAAAGTCATCTGTGGAGCTTCTTAGACTACTGACCCACACAGAATGTCCGTAATCCCAAACATATTTGTTTGCAGAAAATTTATTTTACAAAGCATCTCATGGAATTAATGAGTTATCAAAAGTGGTACTGTCAGAAAGAGCAGTGCACTGAAGTTGAGGAAATAATTAAGGGGGTAAACAGAATTTTTGCAACAAAAATATTTAACACCTTCTTGCTTGCAGTATCAAGAATTGGAAATAACCTAAATTTGTCCAGCAGTAGAAAGTTGGTTAAAAAAATGACGGAACATCTATATGAAGGAATACAAGACGACTATTAACATAGTTTAGAGATTATTTATTGACTTGGAAAGATCTTCTTGAGTAAAGTGAGAAGGCAACATGAACAATTGCTCCCTTCTTGTTTAAAAAAAAAAAAATCTAGTGGTAACTGACATAAGACCCATAAAAGCAAACTCCTAAGGGGGTGATAGTGAACACAGAAAAGAATCCCGATTTTGAACTGCAGACCTGGGAAACAGAGCCGAAAACAGAGCTTTAGTTTGAAATCTACTGAAAAATCAATTAGATAGGCTCTCCAAGTCATCTGCTGCCCCCCACGGCAGCAAACCCTCAACCCTCTTCCCCAGCAGGCTGGAAGCCTCACATACATCCTCCAGAGAAGGGATTGCAAGATTTCTTCTCTATGTCATGAAGGGTTCCTGATCAGATCCCATAAAACTGCACTCTGGTGAAGCCCACAGTTGACAAAACCCATCCACACACACGAAGCTTCTAATCAGAGTTTCTCTGCCCACTTGGCAGATATCAAGAATCACCAGATGTTAGAAGGAAAATGCTAATGTCAAAGAAGTGGTAAGAGCAAACAGAAAGAAATGAAGACTATGAAAAAGAAGGCACCTGGGTGGCTCTGCCTTTAGTTCAGGTCTTAATCCCAGGGTTCAGGGATCGAGCCCCACATCAGGCTCTCTTCTCTGCAGGGAACCTGCTTCCTCCTCTCTCTCTGCCTGCCTCTCTGCCTACCTGTGATCTCTGTCTGCCAAATAAATAAATAAAATATTTTTTAAAAAAAGAAGAAGAAAAACCATTTTTTAAAATTACGACTCTCAGAGAGATAAAAGACGATATAAGTCTGTGTAATAAGAACAGTCTGTTTAAAAAACAAGGGAACTAAGAAAAGACAGAGCTCTTCAACATTATATATAGGAAAATAATAAGGCATAACAGATATAAGTGAAAATAAAGGAAAGACCAGATCAACTAAACGATAGTATTCCAGGGAGACAGGATTGAAAACAATAGAGGGGAGGCTATCATTAAATAATTAATTGTTTAATCAGTAGGATTCCCCCCACTGAAGGCCATGAGTTTCCTGATAGAAAGGGCATCTTGAGTGCTCAGAAAAAATGGTTTAAAATAAACCTACACAGGGACGCCTGGGTGGCTCAGTTGGTTAAGTGGCTGCCTTCGGCTCAGGTCATGATCCCAGCATCCTGGGATCGAGTCCCACATCGGGCTTCTTGCTCAGCAGGGAGTCTGCTTCTCCCTCTGCTTCTGCCTGCCACTCTGTCTGCCTGTGCTCACTCTCTCTGACAAATAAATAAATAAAATCTTTAAAAAAATAAAATAAAATAAACCTACACAAAGGAACATCGTTATGAAATTTCAGAATATTAGTACAAATAGATTTGAACCACATCTAAAGAAAAAAAGAGTGACCTAGAAAGGATCAAGAATTAAAAACAACTTCATACTTCTTGACAACAACACTAGAAGTTGGAAGACAATGGTAACTAATATTATAGACTTAACTTTAGCTCTATTGGACTATAGTGAGTGTTTTACAATTCATCCTTACCACAACCTTATGAAATAGGTGCTTTTCTTATCTCCAGTTTACAGGTGAGAAATCTGAGGTACAAAGGAACAAACTACAAACTTGCCCAAATGACCTAGGTAATAAATGGTAAGCGCTAGGATTGAATCCAGGCTGTCTGGCTCCAAAGTCTGAGATTTCATTGATATATCATACTGAAACAGTGCTTTCGAAATTAGACATGAAAAGTACATCAACACAAAATTATATATCCAGCCAAATTATCAGTAAGTGAGAAATAAAGACATTTTTAGACATGCATGTTTTTTTTTTAAAAATCTACTTTTCGCGTACCCTTTCTTAAGGACAAATATATGATCCCAACTATATGAGGTACTGAGAATAATCAAATGCACAGAGATAGAACGTAGAACATTGGTTACAGGGTGTGCAGAGAGGTGAGAATAAGGAGTTGGTTAATGGGTACAGAATTTCACCTTGGGAAGATGGAAAGAGTCCTGGAGACGGATGGTCATGATGGTTGCACAGTAATGTGAATATGCTTAATGCCTTTGAATTATATACTGAAAAATGGTTGGAATGGTAAATTTTAGATTATGTTTACCAAAAAGGAAAAAAAAAGCTACTAGAGGAGAAGGTACACCACCCAAATGAGGGAGTGGAACAAGAAAGAGAAAAGTTGGTATACAGGAAGCAAGAAATCTAACTCAAGAGCAGGACAGAAGGATCCCCAGGATAACGATGGAGGGAGGTCCAAGGATAGCAGCTGTCCAGGAGGCACAGAGAACAACATTCCACAATGCAGCAGGTCAGAAGGCTCTAGGAGTGACATCTCCAAAAAGAGGAATCAATGAAAAACAGAATGTCTATTGAACTTTATAGTTAACTGGGAGATAATTGGAGGCTACATTACAAGGACATGAAAACCTAAGCAAACAAACAAGATGATCGTCATTTCTGGGAAAACCTCAAATTGGCATAGAAATTAAAAATTATCTTGGTACTCATACTATGTGGCTCAGCTGTGAATTGCATGTATCTCATCACAAGATGTTGACCACGGAACACTGATCCAATCACAATTATGATAGAACTTCTTTGAGAAGATGACTGGTGTGTAACAGGGTGGGCAAATAATCACGAAAACCAAATTCTTAGGAATCAGTCGATAATACCTCTGAAAGAAAAACCAAGAAGTGGCTTAGACACATATGTTAAGTACCAAAATAAACAACTAAAAGATTTTAAAGCAGTTGTCTCTTAAAAAGCAGAAAACAAGGAGGCAGAGTGGTTTGGAAACTGCTATTTTTTGTGATAAGCCTTGTTGAACTATTTGACTCTTCAAACCACATGGACATGGAAGTTAGGTAAAAATTAAAAAAAAAAAAAAAAACAGACCAA